TGGTGGACAATGTGTTTATTTTTACTGAGGCAAAGTTTTCTTAATGGTTTGAATCCCTACGTTTTAACAGGTTTAGCCCTTATATTTATTTAATGGGCTGAACTCCCGCTTCTAAAAGGCTTTATCACTCAGGAATAAAGCGGTGCCATGCCGATCTTAACATTTTGTTTATGTGAGGATATTTTAATCTCTTTAGAGCTTCCAGGTTCACATGCTCTGAGAATCGCATCAGCTTTATGTCGAAGCTGCTTGTTGAACTAAGCCGATGTTTCCAAAAAAAATTGATATCATTTTTTTGGTGGGGGTGGGAGGTTAAAGTTGGAAGCATGCTTGACTCCTACATTCAGAATGCCCTTGTTTCCTTCCTGTCTGATCTTGATCAGCTCCTAAAATAAAAGGCAGGCATGCTCCTTGCAAAGGCAAGATAGCTCAGTGATTATTGCCCCATGGCTTCCCTCCCTCCTTATTGCCCCGTCACCCTTGGATGTGGTAGAGCAGCTGCTTTGCACGTATAGAGTCCCCGGTTCAATCCACAGTACGTCCACATAGAGCTGGGAATATCCCCGGCTTGAAACCCTGGAGAGTCACTGCCAGCCAGTGTAGACAGTACTGAGCTATGTGGACCAGCTGTCTAATAACTCAGTGTAAGGCTGTTGTGTGCATGTGTCTTAACAGAGCTTAAATGTCTGATAGAATGGAAGAAGCGTCCGCAGAGCTTTCCACACTCAAGAAGACGGGAAAGATTCTTCTAGTGGAATTTGTCTAGGGCCTCATCTGGCACCTTTTCGCTGGCTTGGAGTTGGTGGATAGACAGACTGAGATGTTTAGGCATTTAGATATTTAGGCTTTCCCATCCAAAACATAGAAGGCAGCAGTGTTCTTATCTCCAACCCCTTTGAGGTCAGTTCATCTAAACTGGGTTGCCCAAGACCACCCAGCAAGCTGTGCTGAACGTTTGTGACGTCCTCCTAACATTGTTGTTCATAATTTTTCTAGCTCATTTAGTATTCCCCGCACCCCAAAAGGCGCGTTGCAAATTCTTGCCTCCTTTAGCACTGGCACGGACCTCATGGGATAGGCTAAGCTGAGAGATAACGGCTCATCCAAGGCCACCCAAAGAGCTGTGCTGCTAGCCTCCCAAACCTGGAGCCAGCGTGGTGTGGTGGTTAAGAGTGGTGGACTCACAATCTGGTGAACCGGGTTCGCTTTCCCACTCCTCCACATGCAGCTGCTGGGTTTGTGTCTCCACTTCTCCGCATGCAGCTGCTGGGTGACCTTGGGCTAGTCACACTTCTCTGAAGCCTCACTCACCTCACAGAGTGTTTGTTGTAGGGGAGGAAGGGAAAGGAGATTATTAGCCGCTTTGAGACGCTTTGAGTGAAAGGTGGGATATCAAGTCCAAACTCCTCCTCCTCTTCCTCCTCCTCCTCCTCCTCCTCCTCCTCCTCCTCCTCCTCCTCCTCCTCTTCTTCTTCTTCTTCTTCTTCTTCTTCTCTGACTTGATGCTGTGCATACAGGCTTCTCTTGGAGCAGCAGAATTTCAAGTTATAAGAACATAAGAATCTGCTGGATCAGGACAATGGCACATTTGGTCCAGTACAGTGGTACCTTGGTTTACAACCATAATCCGTTCCGGAGGTCCCTTTGTAAACCAAAACAGGTTGTAACCCAAGGCGCACTTTTGCCAATGGGGCCTCCAAAAAAATGGGTGGTAATCCAAAAATAGTTTGCAAACCGGGACACGCACTTCTAGGTTTGACGGGTTTGTAATCCAAACGTATGCAAACCGGACTGTTCGCAAACCAAGGTATCCTGTTCTCACAGTGGCCTGTCAGATACTTGTGGGGAACTTGCAAGTAGGACCCAAGCACAAGAGCACTCTCACCTCTTGCAGTTTCCAGCAAGTGGGATTCAGAAGCCCTGTTGCCTCTAACCATGGAAGCCATTGGTGGACTTACCCTCCATGAATTTGTCTAATCTCAAGTATGCTCTACAACACATGTTCTGTAATGTGTTTTTAGTGTTGTACACCACCCTGGGATCTTCTGATAAAGGGTGGTAGAAAATTATTATTATTATTATTATTATTATTATTATTATTATTATTATTATTATTTGATTTTTTAATGACAGTGGTATATAAATATTTTTATAAATGAATTGAAAAACAGGGGTGAAGCCCTCCATTTCAAGTGTGCCCTCCCTCTTGATTCCCCAAAGAAGAATCCCTCTTCTATCCCTTCCTGTATTTCACCCCCCCCCCTTGCTAAATATCTTCTCCATAATGTGTAATTAACCTTCTGCATGGAGAAAGTACTAAAAAAGGAGGCACTTGAGGAAGGCGATCCAGGCCTTTTAAATAATTCCAAATCATTTCTTTGCTCATAGATTGGAAGGCAAAAAGTTTTTGTTTACAGCCTGTTCTTTTCTTTCTTGAAAACTCGGCTTGGTGTGGAAATGGTGGGGAAGGGGACGAAATAGAGCAAGAGGAGGGAACATTCTTGGTTAATGTTCAGTTGCAGGGGAGGTCTGTCTAATTAAGCATTAAGGAAACAGTGGTTAACAGGTATAATGCTGTTAGACTCCGGCTAATATGAATGCGACCGTGACCTCCCAGATAGATCAAAGCCTAATCTCTCTGACAGCTACAAGATGACATGGCTTGCCACAGGCCTTCTGCTGCTCCTCGCTGGAGCTCTTTGTCTGCAAAGCATGCCTGATAGCTAGGAGTATATTTTTAAGGATGAACAGGTAGAAGTAAAGGGCTGTCTTTTGACATTTTAACTAATCCCTTCTAGCCTGTGCTTTACTTGCACATTTAGGATATTTGCTAGCAGGAGACGCTGGCTTTTCCACATATGCAGCATGTCATGTTGAATCGGGCGTCACGGTGATGCCTGATAATGCAAACGTATACAGTGAAATGGATTCTGATTGCGTTAAAGTGACGTGCGCTGACCTTTTACCTGTTACGTGATTCACAAGGAACGCTTTAACCCTTAATGAGGGAACACAAGGGTTTGAATTTATTTTCTATTATTCTGTTATTAAGCAGTGATACACTTTGTCTCTACACCCCCCCCCACAAAAAAGCTGTCTTGTTAATTAAAAAAGCCATACAGTTTTTATATCCAGGGGTCAGCAACTAGAAGCCCCTGGGACAAAGCTGCCCTCCCACACATTACCTTTTCCAGGAAAGTTAGTTGCTGACCAAAGGCAGCCTTTTATTTTCCATCATTTACTTACAGAGGTTCATGTCTTGCTTAGCTGAAGAAGGGCAGAGCTCCGAAGTAACATGGGGTGGCTAATTTTTGCATGGCATTAAGTGCAAAGAAATGTAAGGCACAGACCAGATCTGCCCTGTGAGGCAGAGCCTATTGGACTGTTCTTTTGCATAGGACCCTTTCAGTAACATTAAAAGAGTTTTAGACAAATCCATGGCTGTCACTGGCTGCTAGCTCTATTGGCTATGCTCCAGCTCCACGGTTGGAGGCAGTATGTCTCTGAATGCCAGTTGCTGGAAATCAGAAGTGGGGAGAGTGCTGTTTTACTCAGGTCCTGCTTCTGAGCTTCCCACAGATACCTGGTTGGCCACTGTGGGTCACTGGAGTTGACCGGCCTTTGGCCTGATCCAACAAGTTCTGCTTTAGTTCCTGGATGTTTCTGTGAGGTTGCAGAAGAGAATGCGGGTCTCAGGCAGCCTTGCTGCACTGATCATCAGAATGGAAGGGGCAGGATATATATATATAGAGAGAGAGTCTGGAACTGGAAATTGTTTGCGAAAACTACTTGGGGCCTGTTCTATATAAGGCTTGCTCAGCAAACTTTAAATGCAGTAGGGGGAACCTTCAGCCCCCAATCAATAAATTCTGAGTGACGGAAACAAATATTAGATCTGTGAAATCAAACTGGATTTATTTTCTGGCTGCAAAGTTTGAATTTGTAAATTTGACAGGCTGTTTTTTTTAAAAGGGCATAGGCACATAAAATAAAATAGAAAGAAAAGAATCCTTACCCAAATTCGAGTTGAAAGTTACCTGTCAGAAGTGGTTAGAAGTCTGCTGTTTTATCTCTTGAAGCGTGTCCTTTCAGTTGTCAGTTTTAAAAGGTTAATATAGAACAAAAGAGCAGTGAAATTAACCTTCCTTTGTGTAGCTTTATGCCTTTCGTTTTTCAAACTAAACCTGTTGTTTAGCTTGAATAGCAGGCCTGGGCTTTTCCATCCTGATCCAAGTGCCTTCCCTGCCTTTGGAAAAGGAGGGCAAGGGGCTTGGCTTGGCTTGCTGGTACTCAGTATTCCACTTTCTGAAAGATTCCATCTCGTGTCTGAGCAGATAGATGTGTGAGGAGGAGTTCTAACTATTTTTTAGCCTGTGCTTCACAAGGGAGGAGAGGTAGGATTGGACCCCCACCTATCCACAGGAAGTACCTGTCCTGCTTCCAGGGCTACCAGAGGTCCACACACTGGATGTAATGGATGTCTTAGAATCATAGTTTGCCCTAACTGCCCTTTAGATTCAAATCATAATTTGCATTTCAGCTGTTCAGGCAAAGCATGGTTTATGCAGTTTCCCACTTTACTGAGAATCCTCAAAGTCGTAGCAAAGTGAGGAGACATGTGCACTCAGGGGGGAAAGTGGGGTGAAAGAAAAGAAAGGTGATCTCAACCATTTTACCAACATGTACAATGTTAACAGACGGAGAACCCTTAGAAGCATTTTAAAATATTTTTGTAACTGGTTTTCCTAGACTTGCATCCATAAACAAAGTTAAGTATAGACTCCAGCTCAGAAAGTTCTTTCAGAGTTATAAAATTAATATATAGATATCTGCTGGTTACCTGAATTAGTTTTATTTATCATTTTGTCCAGAATAAATAGAGCAGTTTGGCAACTGAAAAAGCCATTCTCTTGTTTTGATAATTACTTGATAAGGCAAATGAACAGTTGTACTACTTGAAATTTATGCAGGAATTTTAAAATATATTGTAATTTCTCCAGGTTGAGCTTAAGAGGAAGTATAATGACCTACATTCCAAAGACAGAGGACTTCTACCAGGCAGCCAGTGGTATGAAATCCAGGCCTTCAGAGCTCTCAACCAAGCATTGGGCAGGTGAGTAGAATTAGATTATTCTTGTATAGATCCATATATATTTGGGGCTTTATCTAGTTTAGTTTAGTTTTGTTTAGTTTTGTTTTGTTTTCTTGTTTTGTTTGCAAAATTGCAATTAATAGAAAACAAAACTAATAGAGACACAAACAGGTGAACAAGAATCATAATCAGAGATGAGAAGGGTGTGGGAGGGGCAGGAATTGCCCCCACGTCCTGACCTGGAAACGCTGGCAATTGAACCTAGAACTTTCTGCATGCAAAGTAGATGCTCTGCCATTGAGTCAAGCCCTTCCCCAACCCTCCAACAAAGTAGAGAGGTGCCCCAAAACATTGGAGGAAAAAAATCCCACTTATAGCTGAACCCGGTAGCTCCCTCACTTTGCTGTAAGTGATTCTGAACTATAATCTGCAGTCTTGTAAACATTTGTGACCTGCATTCTCTGTGGACTAAACATCTTGTACACCAGTTCAGCTAAAGCTGAAGTGATGTTTTGTAGAATCGAGTAACAAGGCGTTTTGCAAAGCAGTACTGGAGATTTCTGGCTGTAGCCTGCACCTTCCCTGCTTTCAAGCTATGCCACTTGTATTGTAAAGTTTTCTTTATATGTCATTTCATTGTCTTACTAGGCTTGCCAAGCCTGGTGTTGTTTGGTTGTTTGTTTGCTTTTCGGTTTCTAAAAATCAGACATGCACATCTAGCAGAGCATTTGCTTCTTTGGGAAATATGAATATTCATCTGATCCTTTCAAAAAAAAGTATCTTGGTCTTCTTGGAAACAAAGTACACAGCTTTCCAAAAGCAAGAAAAGCTTCCCTCTTTCTCCTTAGTATTTGCTTAGAAGGTGCATCTTCACTGCTGTTGTTTTTTCTACAGCAAACTAATAGGGGAATAAGTGCTTTAAACAAATAAGTGCTTTAAACAAAAAAAATCTGGTAAAGAAATGGGGACATCAATAATAACTAGCAGCCTCTCATAGCCAGCATTGCTGAGGGATTTTAAGAAACCACAAAATCACTACAGGTTTGAAATCAGTTGTTAAGATCAGTGCAGTTTCAAAAGGTTCAGTGCATCATCCTATCTTAAAATAGTCATATCAAAATATGGACAAAAACCTGCTCCTTGATCTCGGGAACCATGTAGTTATGACATCTAAAAAGTTGTCCAAATGCATAGCAAACAGACAACTTTCCAAAAATAGAGTAGATATTTATTATCATTATCATTTGGTTAGAGCATGATGCTTATAATACCATGGTCGCAGATTCAATCCCCATATGAGACAGCTGCATATTCCTGCATTGCAGGAGGTTAGACTAGATGATGCTCAGGGTCCCTTCCAAACTGGCAGTTCTATCTAGGCTGCCTACAGTATCTCGTGTGTTTCATACACCAGAAGATAGACATCCTTTTCCCTTAGTCTTGCACTCTAAAATGTCTGGGGGGTGTAGCTCTACAATGGAGCATCTGCTTTGTAGTCCGAGGGTCCCAGGTTCATTCCCCAGCACCTCCAATTAACAGAAACAATTATTAGATGATGAGATGGACCTCTCTCTGCCTGAGACCCTGGACTCCAACAAAACAGTACTGGGCCAGATGGCAGCTTGCTATGGCTGGAGGGAGATTGGTATGGAAAACCAAAAGGAACATCTTTAACAGGGATTTAAGTCCAGCTGGAGGCAGGGAAGGACCTTTAGCTCAGTAGAAGAACATCTGCTTTGCATGCAGAAGTTCCTTCCCCATCCCCAGAAGAACTGTTATGAATAGGTTTTCACCCATAGGACCACCCCATAGTGATGGAGATGGAGCAGTGGAAGGGTCTATCATGGAATGAGATTGCAAGGTACCATAAGCAAGGTAGACCTCATCTACTTGTGACCTAGATTTGCATGTGTCTCCGAGGTGATATAACTCAGAAAAATCCCCTAACTGTAAAAAAAATATAACACAAAGTTCCTAAAAATCCACCTGAAATTATAGTGTGGCTGCCAAACTAAACCCTAATCAGGATTTGCAGGTACAAAATACCTGCCCATGTCAAGGACATAGTTATTTCATGGGTTTTTATTTTGTATTCCAACATGTATAAACTGACAAATAAAAGGTGAGCTGGTTTAAGTCTCAGATGTGGCGTTTTCATATTGCTGTGGTAGTATTTGAAGTAACATGAAGTCCATGAAATGTGATCACTTGGGGGTGGGGAGGGAATATGCCAGATGTTGCGCATGGCCAGGTGACAACTCTGCCATGAAATTGCAGCATTGCTTCACTTGAAAGGTGTGGGATATGTCTCCAGTGGGCCCAATACATTTATTTTAACTACACAATTTTGCACTTGGATTTCGTTTTTCTGGCTATTTCCCCCACACTCCCCTGGTGATGAAGACTTAACTGAAAGGCCACCTGCACAATTTTCTGGTGGTGAGCTTGTTACAGGCTCTTCATATCAATAAGCAGGGCCAATCTCTTCAGAGTTGCTTCTGCGCAAGTCCCTGGGCACTAGGGAGTTGCACAAGGAGCAACTGGTGGGTTATGTTTCTAGAAACTCGTGAGAAGAGCCCTATCAGATAAGACTAAAGGCCCATTTAGCCCAGTATTGGCCAACCAGATGCCTATGGGAAGTCCATAAGAAGGACATGAGTGCACTATCCCTACTTGTGATTCCCAGTGACAACTATTCAGAGGAATATTGCCTCTTGTTACCCTTAGCCTTATTTTTTCTTCATTCCCCTTTAAAGCCATCTGTATTGGTGCCCATCACGATATTTTGAGGTAGTGAAGGCCATCAGCGTGGATATGTTGCTGTGAGATTCCTGGTGGATTGTGCCTAGTGACATTTTTTTAAAAAAATTAGTCCTTAAGGTGCAATTGCAGTTAGTCCTCAAGGTGCCAGAGGACTCTGTGTTGTTATTACTGATGCCATTGTCCAGCAAGAACAACATAATTAACAAGAGAATAAAATATTATCATAAACATAAAACATTGCTACTGCTTTTGCTGCCAGTCCTGCAAATGGTTGTTCATGGCAGGTGGCAGCTGTGGAAGCTCAGGCTCAATGAACTGGGTCTGCACTAAGAAACAGCCAAGATGGCCTCTTCAGCAGCCTCAGCTTCTGTAGCTGCAGTCAGTCAGGGCTACACCTTCCCAGGCCAGGTTGAAGAAGGTGTGCAAGGCAGGGAGCAGGTCCCCCAGTCACTTTTTATTTTTGCTGAAATATTTAGTCTTCTTTGTCCTCTCCAATTAACCCACTACAATCATTTCCACCTTGGGTGTGAGTACCAGTTTCAGTGGACTCAGAACATTACAGGTTTTAGATATTTAACACCTTGATGATTAGCTGAAGCTTTGTAAGTTTTAGTGATATCTGAAACAGCTCTATCAGGTAAATATTATGGACATTGTTATCTTCCCCCTTTTCCAAACATTTTAAAAAACCCAGTAAGAGTCATCATGTATTGTTTTTTCACCTGTTGCTCTGTTTTAGGTGTATTCGCCACAGGAGCGATTGGGGAGCACTTATTTTAGTTGATGACCGCTTCAGAAGGAACCCAAACAAATACATAGCTGGTAAGACACATGGATACCCTGGAGATGTTGGTTAGTGACACTTGGCTTCTAGCCCATATATATCAAGGCCATGGCTTTGGATCATGTTGCTGCTGTGCTGGTTGATCTAAAACAGAGAAAGCCAATGTGATGCCCTCTATACATTGTTGGGCTCTACTCCCATCAGTCAACATGACCTGTTGTCAGGGATGATAGGAGTCGTAGTACACCAGCATCTGGAGGACATCATGTTGGCTACCCCAGATTCTAAGGTTATGCTGAGGGCTTCTGCATGCGAGCGAGGCATGTGCTCAGCCACTGAGCTATGGTTCTTCCCCTCGTGGCAGTGGCTGTTCAATATCTCAAGCAGAGGTCTTCCCCATCATCTGCTGCTTGACCCTTCCACCTGAAGATTCTAGACCAGGCTTCCTCAACCTCGGCCGTCGAGATGTTTTGAGACTACAATTCCCATCATCCCTGGCCACTGGTCCTGCTAGCTAGGGATCATGGGGGTTGTAGGCCAAAAACATCTGGAGGGCCGAGGTTGAGGAAGCCTGTTGTAGACACTGAGCCTTGGGCCTTCTGCATGCAAAACATGCCCTTTCCCACAGAGCTATGATGCTTCCATATCTAGGGTTGTCTCCAAGTAAGAGTAGATCCTATTATCTTAATGGGTCTACTCTGATTGGAACCAGACCCCTTTCCTATGCATATAGCTAACGCAAGCAAAGGTAATTCTAAAAATTAAATTTTAGGGCATCATCTCCTGTGATTTGTTTTCCTATAAATATATCACTTTCCTATACAAATGTCACTTTGATGCAGGTGATAATATTTTATTTATTGTAAAATAAAAAGCCTTTAAGGCATAACTTCTGTGTTGGGTTGTAAGTATTTTGCACCATCGCATATGAACAATGCACCTATGCTTTGCTATGGTAAATAGATGTGTGTGATGTGGCCCTTAATCGTGGTGCAAATTGCTATCAACTCACTTGGGCAAGAAGTTAATGGAGGGTGCATGGTTTTTCTGTAAAGCAGCAGCACTGCATCTCCTCCTCTCCCCAGTAACTTCTGGTCTCTTCCATATTTCTGCCACGTCAACAGCTCACTTAAGCGCTTTCCTACTGCACTTCCTTGGATGCCCTCTGCCGGGGCGCTGAAACCCAGAATGTGACAACTTCATGTCATTGAGCTAGATCTGATCAGTTGCTAGAAGTTAGTAAGGAGAGGCAGAGACATGGAACTGCTCTCTTCAACAGCAGCCACACATCCTCCGTCATGTCTAGTTCTGGCATTTGAAAACTTCTTCCTAGGCCATATGAATCACTGTGACATTTGGAAACATCAAGCATTTTCATATCTCTCCCTCTAATAATGAGCTCGAGTGGTGAGTACTGACTGAAATGGAGCCGGAGCGAGAAGGAGGTGTCAGCATCTTATGGAGAGTTCTGAAATTCGCAGAAGTACGAAAACTAACACACATAGCCCAATGAGGAACAAGCATGTGCCTTAGCTATGCAAAGTCAAGTGTCCATTGAGGGACAATGGAATGTCCTGCTTCAGCCCTTTACAACTTATAATTTATTAGCAGACATCATGCCTAGCTGGCTGGAACCCTGAACAGGAACACTCCAGTTTGGGTTGATGATACAGTGCTGCAAAGTTTCATTGCAATTCCCTCTTGTTTTGGTCCATTGTGCATTGCAGTCTGTTACCTAGTTTGTTACTGTGTGAATTTCTAATTAAAGTAGCTGAATAAATTGTGGGTGGGTGGGAATGTGTTCTGGACTCCAGCTTTGCTGCTGCAGATACAAAATCTCACAGTTAAAAATGTAGTGAGAGGTAAATAAAATATGGATCTCATGAAATCCTTATGACTGATAACACTGACATTGTACCAAAGCAATCAACCACCCCAGATAAATTCATTGCCCAGTATAAATTAGTAATCTGAGGAGCGTTTTTGTGAAGGGCAAACATAGGTACTACCTTTTAAAATATTCATAATCATTCAGCCTTATTAGCTATTAAAATATATATAAGGTGGGGGCATCAGAATGACTTCTCTGTCTTAATTTTGCATCTCCTTGTTTTGACCAAGTGAGGTTAGTTCTTAATCTACTTCGCTTTGAAGTGTAGAATAGCTATGCTGAAATATCCCAGTGTGTCAGTTTTTCAATAAAAGCTAGACATTTTGGTGACTCAACAACATCCAAAGGGCCACACGTTGGGGAAGGTTATTGTAAATGATTTGGAGTTGGCGTACAGCAACATGGAAAAGGCCACCTTTTAGGGAAGGCTATTGTAAGTGAATTGGCAAACATTTTCTTGAAAAAAGTCAACAAAAAGGGGAAGGAATGTTTCAGTATTCTTGGAAATGCTTTTAAGTAGCTCCAAACATCACCAGCTCGGATACAGGCAGCCCTGTTACCAGCAAACGTTTGGTAATCATGACAGATAAATTGGTCCACTAGTACACACTAAGTAGAAGAAACTGCTTTAAATATTAGGCTGTGAACATCAAATAGAGATGGCACCTATTTTTCCCTTTGGTGTTTCTAAGCAATTTCAGCGAAGGGAGGAGATGAAGCAAATACTGCCCTTGTCTTGACAGTAGATGGTGCTCAGATTCTATCGTACGAAGGGTCTTTCCCTTGTCTCAGAAAAGGCAGCAAGATGGGAGGATATCATTGCCTCACATGAGAGTCTTTCTCGGTAATTTTAGAAGCAGTAATCATGGCAGGTTTTTCAAGAAGTTGGGGGCTGCACTCAGTAACACATTTCTCGTTGAAACAAAGCAATTTGCCAGAAAATGCAATGGATTCTTATGAATATATATATATATCCAAAGATAGAATGATTGTTATACTCGTGGTATAATAGAATCCAAAAATATAATTGACTTCAAAAGATTCCGCTTGTTCAGTCTTTATCAGAACACATGCACTGAAACTGCTTTTAAAATGATCAGCGGTTTGTTTGTTTTTTAAAAAGGGGGGGGGGTAAAAAGAGAGCAACAAAGAAATCCCTTTCCTTCAAAGCATAAAGCCACCAGCATTTCTTTCCCTCTTAAATAGTTTCATAATTTTTTATTAAATTTCTATACCACCCTTCATCCAAAGATCACAGGGTGGTTTACAGTATAAAAACAGAACATACATAACAAAAAGATAAGATAGATCATAAATATAGTAAATTCTGTGCGGTTTTTAAAAGAAAATTTATTTTCAGTTTTTAAGAATTTGCAAATACAGATCTTACAATGACATACAATGTCATACTTCCAATACAGATACAAATCAGACTCCCTCCCCCTTTTGTGGTTTCTTCTCTTATTTAAAATTTTAACACTTTACTCCATTTTTAAATTATTCTACAGTTAATCTTAATAATACTTTTAACTGCTTGATTTAAGTTAACCCTACCAATGCACTTAGTTGCATACCATGATTTTTCAAATATTCCACGAATATTCCCCACTCCTTAATATATTTTTTCCCCTCTTGATTTCTTAACACACCCATTAATTGCCATTTCAGCATAATCGGATTCTCTTGTGTTGGTTGCATTCAATTAAGTTCTACTCAGAGTAGACCCGTTTAAATTAATGGACATAATTTCAATAGGTTTACTCCGTGAGTAGAACACTGGATTCTACTCTGTGTGCACACAACATTATTTTAATGCTCAGTTTTCATGTTGTGTGTTGCTCTCCATACTATTTTCATTGTGCTAATCTATTAACATTCTCATTCTCATATAGTGTGGCTTTCTAAAACTCTGTTTGGCAGCTCATTTTTAACAGGGGACAAGCACTTAGACTTGAGCAAGGGCTAAAGGGCCATCGACATTTGCTCCACCCAGTACCATGGAAGCCAATACCAGAGGCAAATGGCTTTTAACCTCCTTTTCCCTATTTATATGGGGAAGTTAGACTTTGGTATATCCCTCCCCTGTATGCATCCTTGTCGCTTACTCCCATGTGTTTTGCCTTGTGTAGGAGAAGGCACAACTGAATTGTGTAATGGCAGAATAATAATAATAATAATAATAATAATAATAATAATAATTGTTGTTGTTGTTGTTGTATTTGTACCCTGCCCATCTGACTCTGTTGCCCCTAAGCAGCCAGTTTCCCTTTTCTATTCTAATAGACCATGTCATGGCCAGCAGTATCATTAAACAGGTTGTAACTCTTCATTGCCATTACAAAATCAGACCAAATAATTCAAATCTTTGAATTCAAATAATTCAAAGTTGTGTGCCTAGTGCAAGAAGAAACTAAAGCAACACAGTTTTTATTAGGTTTTAAACATGTACAGCTTTGATCACATAACTTCCCAGTCTTGCTATATAGTAATAATGAAATAAAATTGTTCTTTCCCAAGGATTGTCAAAATGGATTCGTCAGCTAGTCCAGCACCACGAAAACTTCGATTGTGCCCTTGGTTCTTTGGATGCGTTTGCTAAAACAAACCAGAAGAGCACAGATTCTTTGACTCAGGGTAACGACAGATCTGCGCTCATGTCTTCAAGCTCAAAAGATCTGTCATCAAGTTCTTTCCTGGAGGCAACTCTTCATCTATCACCAGGTGTTACTGTTGAAAGAGAAGTGCATGATTTAACCCTAGAAACACTTTCTGCTGCAGACGTCATTGCAATTAATCCAGCGACATCCAGTCAGTCATGTAACATATCTGCAAATCAACAAAGTAGGTTTTCCTGAGGTTGTTTTTTTTTAACCTTTTAAGTAGTTTCCTGAAATATTTATGGGAAATTTGTTAAAGTTGACTTCATCTTTTTGCTTGCGAGTAAGAACCAGAGAACATAAGAAGCTGTGTTATGTTAGGTCAGATTATGTATCCACCTGGCCGAGTGGTGTCTCTTTGTTAGAGCAGAAGATAGATTGTGGTCTCCTGGTGAACCACTGGCCAATTTCTGATGGATACCCAGCATATTCTTGTTACTGAGACTCTTGGTCTGATCCAGCAATGTACTATTAATTAAAAAAGAGCGGAAGTTGTTTATAGCAGTTCAGGCTGGTTGTTATAGGGCCGGGCAATGTATCAATACATCATCCAAAATCAGTTTGAAATCCACATCATGATAACAGTTTCATAATATTTGGCATGGCTATATACCACAAATTACAATGTGTGTGTGCTATGTAAAAAATCGTGATATGAGAAAAAGACGGTCATTATTTCTCATGATTCTTAATACCCCTGTTGCTCTACATCATGGTTCAGCAACCTTTTTCAGCCGTGGGCTGGTCCACCGTCCCTCAGACTATGTAGTGGGCTGGACTATATTTTTTGGGGAAAATATGAACAAATTCCTATGCTCAAATAACCCAGAGATGCATTTTAAATAAAAAGACACATTCTACTCATGTAAAAACATGCTGATTCCCGGACCATCCACAGGCCAGATTGAGAAGCCGATTGGGCCACATCTGGCCCCCGGGCCTTAGGTTGCCTACCCCTGCTCTATACTATAAAATAACAGTTGTGACAATATGTTAAAGGTAAATAAAAATGTATCTGTTTTAGACCCCTAAGTAGTAGCAGTTGCCAGGACATTACCCCATTTGCCTCTACATAGTTGCATCCTTATTTCAGACATCGTGATATATCGGTATATTGCCATGTTTAGCTAGTGAGATATCACAATGTTGAAAACCAGACATCGCTCAGCACTGGTTGTTATTATTATTTTCTGCTGTGACTGTTAGTGGGTTTCCAGGATCTCAAGCAGAGAGAGGTCTTTTCCCCTCATCTGCAATCCCCCTCTTTAGCTTTTATTATTGTTATTTTTTAATCCTGAGAGCCCCTGGCTATCTCTTACATTCAAAAAGAACCTGGTGGGATCCTGCCCCTTCCCATTAGCATTTTGACTCCCATCTCATGGGACACCTCCTGATCCTTTTAACTGGAGATGCCAGGGATTGAACCTGGGACTTTTTCATGCAAAGTGGATGCTTCCCCACTGATGAACAGAGTCTCAAGGTGCATGCTGGAACTTTTTCACATGTAGCAGGGCAGTGGGGCCCTCTTCTTCTCTTTGTAGTGTCTCTTGTCCACTCAAAACTATTCTGGAAAGTTGTCCGGAATTGTTCCCAGTGCAGAGTGAGGAGTCAGAAAGGCAAAACACACACACACACACACACACACACACACACACACACACACATTTGTGTCTCTATGCATTTGGCCACACACATTGGGCTCTTTGTTCTTGAGTGGAAAGAAGGGATTAAACTCATCTTAACAAAGTGCTATTTGGTTCAGTGGCAGGTTCTTCCCCCCACCCTAGTTGTGTATACATTTAACGTAGGCTGTTACATTATTATATGTCAATCAATCCAGTTATTTGAAAACTAGTAATCTGCTAATGCTGTAGCACAATTTTGAGGGAAGGAAAGACACACAGTTATGCTGTTGTTCGTTCTGTGAATGTGGAAATACCATGTTAATGTAATGCTAATAGTATCTATGAAGGGTTTCTGCGCTAGAGGACTTCTAATATCTTCCCTCTAATTCTAAACATTGCAGGGCCTTCTGTGGACATTACTTTCTTCCCAGTCCAGAGCTCTGTATGTGCTTCAGTGCATACCTGAAACTCCCTGGTCCCCAAGGGCTTCTTTATTCACTTTAAGTGGACAGTGATCCCATTCCTTGTAGTAAATGAAGAAGCTCTTGTCTCTCATCTGTATCATTGTCCTTGCGCTCCCAGGGGATTACTAGATTGGCATAAATGTGAGCAAAATTGAAAGGAACTTCTTTCTGAAGTATGGAGGATGATGACGAGATAGGGCCTTTTAATGGGTGGCTCCTGTCTGTAGAATGTTCTACCAAAGAGACTTGCCTGGTGCCTCCTTCAGTGACTCTTTGGCACCAGGTGAAGACATTCCTCTTCTTCCAAGCCTTTTAATAATTTTTATCATCTTTTAACGCTATCATATTATTTTAGCATCATTCAGTTCTGTCTTTGTTTCTCTCGTGGTGATGTGTCTTTGCTTGTAAGGGTGTCTGTATTTATTTACGCTAGGGTTGAGTTGTTTTTATTGCAGTTTAGTTTTGCTCGGTTTATTACTAGTTGTACTGATTGTATTGGATGTTTTTCACTAGTTTTATTGAATGTTGTCTAGAGGCTTTGGCACAAGGTGACTAAATACATAAATAAGATGTCAGTTAGACAGACAAGACCAGGTGGAGAAAAGAAGCTACAACTGAGTAATAGGGTAATGAGCCTGAAGCAAAATGAAGCATAACAGCTAGTTGTGAATATATGTGCCTCTCCTTTCCCACAAACAGTTTAATCTAGTTTATTGGTTTTGAAACAGAGGGAAACTAGTCAGAGATTCCTTAGTAAGAAAATGAGTAATGGCAGGCAAGATTTCCTGAAAGAAAGACTTCCCTTGCAATGAGCAGTCACAGCAGGGGTATAGGATGTTTTTTGGTGCACACTCTCTGTTCTTGTGAGGCAACACTGAGGCCCCAAAAGCCTGGTCAGGGCTTCTTGTGAACTTCATTTGCCCTAGAACATGCCACATAATTCTCTGTAATGTTCAGGGATTTAATGGCAGAAGAACTGGTGAGGTTTCCTGAAGGCTGAAAGTTTGAAAGCCACTGAGTTAAATAACTCTAAAGCGGGAATGAGGCACATGTGTCCCGGCTTATATTACTGAACTACAACTCCCATCATCCCACAAGTTGCCCAGCCTTGTTCTAGAAACTGAACAGTGTTTTCTGATGTGTACATGCTAGAATTAATGACAAGCATTCATTATTACCTGATTCTGTTTATCCAGCTAGTTATATGCCTCTGCCCTTCTATTCCAGATCTTCAGCCATTCTGCCAGACTGTAAAGCAAGAAAACCTAACCGACTCCAAACCCAAAACCTTGATCGGGAAGAACAAGAGGGAGAAAGCAAATAATCTGCTCTCATCTGTCAGTATAAAACAGTATTTCAGTAAACCATTGACTTCAACACCCCTGCTTGCCCTGAATGAGAAAGACCTCTCCAAAGCTAAATGCCAACCAAAGATACCAATGGATGAAAGTACTCAGCTTGTTGCAAATGAACCCCAGCAGAATGTGTTTTTGCTTGAGCAACAGAGGGCAACTGGATTGTCACCATGTAGAGAACCGATTAGCTTTTCTGCTGGAAAGGCCATTCAAGAATATCCTACCGAGCAGCAGCTCTGGGCTCATGAAGAGGGGAGGGACGTGGCGTTTTCTCCAGTGAGAGGAAACGCGAACCTTTCAACATCAGATATAGCTGCAGAGACAGATGCCAACGATGACAGTATCTATTTCACACCTGAACTTTTCAACAGTGTCGAGTCAGCAGTACAGAAAAAGGAGTTGTCAACTCATACTTGCAGCGAGACTGGGATTTCCTTTGAAACTGCAAGCTCTATTAAAGTTGAAGAGCTTTATGATGCCAGTGCTCTAAAGCTAGTAGATGCAATGGTCAGCATTAAAACTGATGCTGACACGAAGGCAGAGGAGCCTGGAATCGTTCAGAGCAGTGAGAGTACTGGAGGGGCAGTCAGAGCAGCTGGACACAGTACTAATAGCATAGGTGAAGCTGAGCAGGAGGCAAAGAGAAAGAAGCTTTCCAGATCACAAAACAAAGGTGTGTCCGTTGTCCAGATTAATTATCAGTAGTGGGGTGGGGTGGAGGAACCCCCTAGGAATGAGTTTTTAGTTTAACTAGAAATCATGGAGCTATGGTTGTTTCCTGATGTTAGGGATAGGCTTCAGTTAATCAATTTTTCAGAAAACCAGAACAATGAAAACAATACCTAAGTAAGAATCACTGGATATTATCTGAAAAAAGAGAGTGTTTCCTCCTTCCTCTCTCTCTGGTGATGTTAAATAATGTAAATTGTGTGGCACTGTGTCATCATCTTGCATGGTTCCCTATCTTTGTTATATTGTGTTACATCAAGGTTCCCTACCCCTGCAATCAGGATGTGGAGCAGAGAAATGGAAATAGCCAACATGGCGTTGACATGTCATGCGTTTCCTTTTCAACATGCTACAGGGAAGAGAGGAGGAGGAAGGAAGGCTATTGCTTTTGGTGGCCGGCAAAGAGGTAGTTGCAACCCAAACCCAGATTCATGATGATTGCCGTGGTTACAGTTGATGTAAACCCTCGGGTCCTACTCATGTGGAGCACTCTGGGGAAAGATCTCTTGTGTGTCTGTCACAAGTAGCAGTAGCCTTTGCTTTGCATCACTGGGCTATTCCTAGAAATAACTGGAAGCTGGTCAATGAAGTGGTCAGGAAAGATACCATTTTCAAATAAATATGATGCAGCCCAATTCATTGATTGCTTCCTTTCTGCAGGAGAATTTTGCAGCTGAATAAAGTGGGGGTGGGAGTGTTGAAGAGGATCAATATAAAAATTTACTTTGCAACCGGCAGATTTGGGGGGCTGGCTAAAAAACTTTGCTGAAGCATGGTAGCCACACAGAACCACTGTTACATTTGTGGGGGGGTTTAACAACTGGATTTTATATGGACCTCACTGTGTGGTACCCTCAGAAGTTGCCACGTAATGGGAAAAACTGGTCCAAAATTTGTTGCTTGTGTGCAAAGACTGCCACTCTCTTTATCTGTTGTTTCTGCTTTAATACATCATGTGCTAGATGGACCAGAACACAGCAGTATAAACAGATCCAGATCATTTTCATCACCTCTTAAACCTACTTAGCATGCTCTTATTTTATATATACATCTAACAATCAAGGAAGGCTGTGTTGAAGCCTTGAGGATGTGTTCAGTTTTGTTAGGAAGATGTGCTGTGTGAATCACCCCTTAGAGCTTCTGAACACTTTACACAGCAATTGTGTTTCGCATAAGAAATGCGTAAAGTATGGTTGACAATTGCTGATCCTTAAACATCTAGGGAAAATTGTGGCCAAAACAGGACTCCCTGGGAAGAAAAATATGTTTCTGTTCTGTTTGCCACAGGAAATATCTGTGTTTGTCACACAAAGGGTAAGCTGGCCCTTAGAAATCTTTGTACTGTTGAACATATGCAAGCAAAACCTCCTTTGTACTGTTGAATATATGACAGCATAACAGCCTAATTTCATTTTTTCAAATTTACCATTTTCTACATCTCATCAAAAATATTTCTCCTAAATGGAACAGATGATAAGAAGTGCTGAAGTTAAATATACTCATTTTAGAATTCTTTGTTATGTATATTGCATGTATGTACATATAAAGGTAGAATCAGTGATGTTTTTTCAAAACCCTTTCAGTCCTCCTTTCAATCAGGTTATTTAAATTTAGGTTACAAAATGCTTATGGCTTTAAGCACTTTAAAAATATTGAAAAAATAAATGACACTGACCAGCCAGGTTTATAAGTTTTCATTCCGTGTTTGTAAAATGTACGTAATGGGGCTCGAATATAACGTTGTGTTGTTAAGAACCTGACCCAAGTTGTCCTCAGTGGTGGAAATACATAATAATTTGAATAATTGTGGGAGTGCCTTGCGAAATCACTGATTCTTAGTCACACTGGTGCAAAATAATAATCAAATCCTGAATTTATTGAAGGACTGAAAGTACAGAGAACATATAAACGAAGAATCAGGAAACCATCTATTAAAGGAGGGGCCAAGTCACTGACAGGTAAAGTCGGAAACAATTTGTAGATTTTCAAGTTTGATTATAGTGGTAGTTATAGTAATCCAGTTGGAATCAGGTTAAGTAATGAGTGGATCTGGCCAATGACTTGTCTAATCTTGCATTTCTTCCACGACACAGTTCCAGTGGAAGCTGCCCGTTAGGTAAACAAGACAATTCCCATCAAGTTTAGCCTATCCTCAGCCAGCCCAGGGGTCAGCCTCCTCCTCCTTAATGTTAGTGGTGTCACCTTAGAACTTAGCAAGCAAGAAGATGGGGACAAGATCAGAATTAATGGACCTAGTCTGTCATAGGCTCCAGTTCCACCTACTCCTGCGCTCCCTGCTTTCTCTTCCCTGCCAGCCCCAATGGACACCAGCCTCCAATGCACAATATCTTCCTTTGCCTAAACTGCTCCAGTTTCTGGGGTGGGTAGCTTTGGTACACAAAGGAGCTGTGGTGTGCTGTGATGGGAAACTCTCGTGCCACTAAAGTGGCTCCAGAAAAGAGGGAGCAGAAATCTTGCAAAATCTGTCCCAGATTCATGTGCAGGGAACTGTGTTTCAGAGACTGGTTACGTGCTTGGTAGTGTTTTGCTTTTGATCAAACAGGATACCCAACAAAAAGATATGCTGTCGGCTAGCTAAGGCAGCCAGGTGTGTGTCTATCACTACAGCCCTTATTGACTGTTCCTTTTTTTTGTGTCTTATGATACTTCACATACTCTCTTGACTCTGCTTGAGAACACCAATGCTGTGAAGGCCTGGTGCTTAAGTTGTTCCCACAACGCATGCAGGAGCCACAAGGTAGCCCCCCCCCCCCGCATGGACAGGGACTTCTCACATTTTGTGACAGTGCAGTGGCTTCCACCCCACCAGCGCTCTTCTTCATTGCCCCACAGGACTTCCCAACAGTCTAGTCGCAGTTTCAGCCTGAGATTTTTCTGACACTCCTAGAAGACTTCCCTAATCAGTGCTAGCTTTTTCCTGACTTTCGTTAAACAAATCTGGGGGCAATTCTAATTCATGCTGGTATACAATATTTTACATTTGAATGAGAATTTCAAAGATTTTGCTTTATTCTGTTTACTGGATGCTGCTGTGTTGTTAGCCTTGAGCAAAGCATTTCCTAAAGAGTCACATGTGTTGCATTCAGCAAATGAGCAGGCCGTCCCGCAACAAATAGTTAGCATTTAGGGCCCATAAAAGGGAGAAAAGGATTTTTAAAAAAAAATTTGGTGGCACTAACATCTATATCAAGCATTAATTACAGCCTGAGAGAGGAAAGAAAACTGGGCTAGAGAATGGTCAAGAGCTACAAAGGTTAAGGAAGGATGGAGTTTCTATATTTGTTAAAAATCACCAAGCGGCACTTTAACTGTGAGCCTCCCGCAATAATAATTAGCAAAGTTTGAATGGATCTTAGTGAGACAAGATCTGCTCATCAAACCTATTTAAAACAGTGAACAGCTGGGTATAAAGTGCTTTCTGTATAATGCAGTCATGTTGGGCAAGTCATTTATTTTAATACTTTTTTATATTACCAATGTATGTAAGTTTCCAAGCAATAAAATATTGATCCAAATGGCTTGTGCTTTCACGATGATGACTAATTTATTTCTGTTTGAGCTCATGATTGTTATTATTGTGTTAAGTGATGAGAGACCAATAGGTTCTCTCTTAAAATAATTATTACACTGTGTGTTTAGACACAGCAAAGCCTTTAATGTGTTAGTTTATATCTCTGTTATTTCATGGTTATGAAGGAGATGCTGAGAGTTCCAACTTGCAAGTCGGTACTGTGTTATATTCTCTGGAGGTGAGAAATATTGCCTTAAGTAACTGGTAAGATCTTACTATTAATCTCCTTTTAGTGTGCTATTTATTATTATTATTATTATTATTATTATTACTACTACTACTACTACTACTCATCCTTAACCACAGATTTCCCAATTACAACAATATAAAAACACAAGGTTAAAATCAGTTAAAACAATTTACAATCAAAAGATTAGGGTGAGTCCATATATATCAGGTGTCAAGACTAGGGTAAAGAGATGCATTTTCTGCATATGACGAAAGCTATGTAGTGAAGGTGCCAGGCACACCTCCCTGGGGAGAGAACTCCACATCTTAGGGGCTGCCACAGATAAGGCCCTCTCTTGTACCACCCTCCTCCCAAACTTCCAAGAGAGGGAACTACCAAGAGGGCCTCTGTTGATCTTAATACTCAAGAGCATCTGTAGGGAAGAAGATGGCCTTTCAGATATTTGTGATTGTACCTAAGAGCTTGGGGCATGCCCAGCGGGCAACCTATGTGCTGTTCTCATAAACCATTTTTTAGAATCTCCCCTTTCCCATTTCAGAATTGACTTGTTGCATACCTATGGAGGGCTGCTGTTTGAGAAATGCAATGCCTGGGAAGTGTTTCCAGATTGCAGACATTCTGACTTTGTAATTCCAGAAGTAGCGGGAGAATGAATCCTCTACTGATGTAGAAAAGAAAATAATTTGGAAACTACGCCAAAAGGCCGTGGAATCTTTTAGGGTTGTGCTTATGAATTGGGTACATTAACAGAAGGTGATCATCACAGATAAGGCATGACTTGCACATCTATAGAAAACACTGACAGTTTATCAAGCAGCGGTGAAATTCATAAGGTAAAAGAGCTCCTGCAGATATTTCCCCAACTATTATATCCCTTGGCTGCTGTCCAAAAAGCTACTGTACATATGTATCCAGAGGGAGTTTTGACTTTTCTTCTTTGAGCAGCAGATCCTCTATCACAAGCATATTTTTTAAAAGCACATACACACACAAACTAATTTTTGAAAGGGGAGTGCTTCAGGCTTAGTGAAGGTTGTCAATGAATGCAAATCTAAAAAGTGCTTAAGATTAATTTTGAGGCTCTTTAGGTTGCCCTTTACCTGCATACAAAAAGGCTCTTAGATGAATGTACCACTGCTACCTTCAGAGTTGCTTTTTGTGACATAAAAATATGGCAATGCTTCTCGGATATTCTCCATCTGTAAGAAACGTGCCTTTTCCATTATCCTCCAGTTTCTCACGTTGTTTTACAGTGTGGTGATAATTAATATGTAATAATTTTACATTTCTATTTCTAGATGTCTTTGGAAAACATAATCTGAATCTGATGGTTCTCTCCCCCCCCCCCGTTTCTTTTGTTTTTAAGACATGAATGCTATCTGGAAAACATTCTCTTATCTACTATGTGCAATGTTTAAATAGTATCTCATACAGTCGGCCTCCCGGTGGTTTCCAATGGGGGCTAAAATAACTGGCTCTGGCAGTGGCACCCGGCCGTCAGCATGCATCTAAAGCCAGATACAGGTAGCCCTTCTCATTTGTAATACAAATGCAACTTGGACCCACCCACTTTATCTGTTTATAACTGCATTTATAATTTGCCCTCTCCTAAAATATAAGAGCAGTGTACAGCAATATTAAAAAATACAAGTAATTAAAATGACTGCAGGGGACAAAAATAGGCTTCTGAAGGTCAAATGTGAGAATGACTGCCGCATCTCTGCCGGAAGAAAATTCCACAGCATGGCATTGGCAATACTAAATGCCCAGCTTCTAGTTGAGGCCAGTTGGACCCCTGTAACACGAGGGACAACTAAAGGTGGTTTTTCAGTCTTTATCTCAGTCAGCCACAAACAGTACTTCAAAGTATGCCAGAAGGTCCATTTCCTATACCAGCCTGCCCACCCTTCCAAATATTACTGGACTACAAGCTCTCTTCAATCCCAGCTATCACATCCCATGATCAGGGATAATGTGAGTTGGTAATCCAATATTTGTTTCTTTATTATTTCAATTTTATTATTTCGGTTCAGCGTCCAATACCGGTACCACTGTTGGCTCCAAATCTACATTATATAGTAGTTCTCATAACCCTATGAACACAATAGTTTTTAATAAAGAATATTCATGGAATTCAGCCTTTCCTGAAAATAAATTTAATTTTGTTTAGCTCCTTTAAAGAGGAACAGGAAAGGGACAATGTATATAACCATATCTCCCACACTGGGAGATTGAGTGATTGTGGAACAAAATATAATAGCAAAAAATGTGTGTCCTCAAGGTTTTCTTAGGCTTCATAGGTGAAATTTGACCTGCTGCTGTAAAAACTACATTTAGACAGACGTCTGCAATAGCATATAATAAAACCAGCTAACTTGGCATGAAGGATACCTTTAATTCTATGGTACTGTGTGTTTATGAGGGGAAAAGATATACTGAAAGCTATAGTAAAGAATGTTAGATATTGTTGACATACTAAATCGACTTCAGGCTTTTTATTTCTTTTTATTTTAAAAGAAGAGCTTGAGAGGTTAAAAGATATCAATTCATTAATGCTCCTAGTGATTTGGTTTTTAGTCTAATGAGAAGAGAAAAGGCAAGGTGTCGAGTTTGCTTGTGAGCTTCCCATAATGGGCATCTGGTTGGCCACAGTGCTAACTGGATGCTGGGGAAGATGGGAGAAGATTCAGCAGGGGCGGGGGATCTGTGGCCCTTCAGATGCTTTTGGACTTCAAGGCTCTTCAGCCCAAACAAGCCTGGCCAATGGTCAATGGTCTTGACAACATCTGGATAGCCACATGTAGTCCACCCCTGCTTTAAAAAGTCTTGCTGCAGTCATCAGTAGAAAGGCTTAAAACAACCATGGAGTTGAGACTTGATGGTTTTGTTTAAACTGCATCTTCGGGGCAGGGAAGTACGCATGTACACATTAATTTCTAAACTGTATGCTTGCGCAAGAGCTGTTAGTTTGCTGCTATAGATTAGTTCAATTATTAAAGGTTCCAGTGAGCCCATATCTCCCATACAAGTACTGTAGGAGGTTTCCCATTGCATCTCTGCGTATTTTTGTTTCTGCCTTCCTTTCAAATAGCTTCTGCTGGAAGTTGGGGTAACATTGCCTGGTAACATCCCAAATTCAATCCCTGGTATCTTCGCTTTAAAACGGATCAGGTACCAAGTGCAGAAAAGATATTCTTTTGATCTCAGACAGCCTCTGCCAGTCAGAGTAGAAAATACTGAGCTAGATGGGCAAAACAGTCTGACCAGTGGCTTACGTTCCTCTGTTCTTTTGGGAGTGGGTTGTTCTTACCCTTTCACACTTTAAAAGGTAAACCTTTTGAGGTTTAAGAATGAATTGTGTATTCAACTTTACTTCAGCAGAAGTGTCCCTCAGCTAACAGAATTTGGGGGGAATGCTGTGCTTCCCAGTAAAATATCAACTAACCATGTCGAAAAAGTCATGAAAACATAAGATGTAGTCCAAGAACCTGGCGCCATCTGTGTTCTCATTTCTTGAGATCTGCTGCTGATTATCCAATAACACTTCCCCTGTGTTTCGCTAGCCGCATTTATTTTTGTAACCAAGATTATTATTATTTTCCTTTCTAAATTTATTTAAGGGCTTGTTACCATTGCTGATTAGATGGTCAGCTGTCGAGGCAGCCACTCTTTATATAACAGGATATTGTTTTGTTCATCATGTTGCCACATTTGGCAAACTTTTAGCTTAATGCGCCTTTTGGGAATACCAGTCTGACCTCAATCTGAGTAAAGCCTTAATAGTCGACGTGAGGGAGGCTTGCAGGAGGTGGCGGCGCTCATTTTTCCCCCTGCAGACTGTATATTTGTTAGCGCATGTTAATCAGATTCATCATTCTGTTTAATAAAGATTTCATCTGCCACGCGAATGCATAATCGGCTGTGTCTGAGTGACTGACCTTTGTCTTGAGCAGATTATGAAAACTGTATTAAGCATCATCGGGCAAAAAAATGACAACCTTATTAATTTGTCCTTTATGTGTTTTTCAGCAGATTGCACCTCATTATTATGCAAACGCATTACCCAGAGCAAGGAGCCCAGAAGTAGCTCATTAACGTTTCTTTCCCTTGATTTGCAACAGATTTTCTATTGGGGAGTGTGCAGGCAATAATTGCTAATTATGTGAGTTAAATTGTACAGTGCCTGCCTTTTTACCCCCACCCCCTTTCTCTTCTCTTCTCTTCTCTTCTCTTCTCTTCTCTTCTCTTCTCTTCTCTTCTCTTCTCTTCTCTTGGTCATATGTTTTTGAGAATGTAGTAGAACGCTCTTCAGGAGCCACAGAGTTGTGGTAAGGCAGTAGCAAGCCCTAGAAGCTGAATTACGGTTGCATGCCTTCCATTTTTCGAGCCTCCAGTTCCACGAAGCATAATTAGGACAGATCAGGATTATTATTATTTTTATAATGGATGGGCTCATACACAGCTTCTCCTTTTAAAGGAGATGAGAATCAGTTGTCAAGATAATTAATGGAAATATCCATCAACAAGCAAACACATGCAGTGGGTAAAATGTTGCCTTGGAGGGAGAAATCAAATCTCATAGCCGGCTGGATTTGGCCTTTTATTCACCCTCTGTTTGTGGCATTCTTCAGGCTAAACCCGGCTCCATTGTTTTATATCCCACTTATTCCCGTAATGGTTTTAAATAAAAGTTTTTGTTATTATTTTAACCAGCTGTCTTTGTCCCTCCCAAAGCCGGCACTGGCAGTATAATTCCC